TCGGTATCGACAGAGAGCACACGCCTCGAATCCGATCTTGTCCTCGCACGATCGGCAGACCGTTCGGCAGCAACAGCAACGAAACACGCCCAGAGTATTCACGTCCCACTCCTCGAAGCAGATCGGGCATCGCGACCCAAACCGCGCCGACGCCGGCTCCCGCTCCGGGTTCGCCTCCCGCAGGGCACGAGCGGCCTCGTGTTCCGCCGCGATGCGCGCGCGGACCTCGTCGGCGTGCGACCGCGGCGCGGGGCCGTAGAACACCTCGCGCGGCGGCGACGGCGCGCGCGTCGGCGCTTCCGCCGCGCGCTTCCGGATCTTCTTGCACGCCTTCCGGTGGCCCCGCTCGCGCCAGTCGATCCGTTGGCATTCAGTCGAACAATACTGTGTAGTTCCGCACGGGCATTTCAGCAAAGTTCTCGGTTTCGCCCCACAAATCGTGCACGTCAAACGCAGCTGTAGCGCTTTCGCCCGCGCCTTCTTCTCTTCGTATTCGCGCTGCTTCTCGACGTACTCGGCCTTCATGATCGTTTGCGGGCGGCGCGCGGGCTCAGGCGTCGCGGGCGCAAGAGGGTGCGTCGCCTACTAAGTCGGTCTTTGGACTCGGGGCAAAACTCGCTGAAATCAGGAGTCCCGAGTCCAGGTGGCAGGTACTTCTAGTACTAGTAGTACATCGTATTTACAGGGCGATGCGGTCGAGGCGTAGATCAACTTACGGCCCCTGCGCCGGCTCGGCCCACTTGCTGTCCAGGACGCGCTGGCTCTCCGCTCGAAGCGCGCGCCTCCTTTCCGCGGCCGGGAGGCTCGCCTGCCCGGCCTCGAGTCGCGCCGCGTGGTTCTCAGCCACGCGCAGCCGCTTGAGGTTCGCCGCGGTCCGCGCGGTATCGCGCTCCGTCTGGTCGGCCCACTTGCTCTCCAGGATGCGATCGCTCCCTGCTCGGAGCGCGTGCCTCCGAAGGAAGGCCCTCCTTTCCGCGGCCGGGACGCTCGCCTCCGGCCCGGCCTCGAGCCGCGGCGCTTCCGCCTCGGCGACGCGCAGCCGCTTGAGGCTCACGACGGACGCCGCAGTCGATGAGGCTCCGCGCTCCGGTTCGGCCCGCTCGCTTTCAAGGATGCGCTCGCCCTCCGCTTGGAGCGCGCGGCTTTCGTCCGCGGCGGCGATGAGCGCGTCCTCCTCGGCCCTGGGCTGCCCCGCTTCTTCCTCGGCGACGCGCCGCAGCAGCTGGGCCGCTTCTTCCTGGGCGACGCGCAGCGGAGTCGAGGAGGCTCCGCGCTCGATCGAGTCCCAGTCGCGATCCTGGACGCGCCCGCTCGCCGCTCGGAGCGCGCGCCTCCGTCCCGCGGCCGGGCTCGCTCGGAGCGATCGCGCGTCGTCCTCGGCCGGGAGAGGCGCCTCCTGCTCCGTCTCGAGCTGCGCCGCTTCCGCCTCGGCGACGCGCGGGCCCTCGAGGCACGCGACGGAGGCCGTGGTCCAGGCCGCTTCGCGCTCCGCCTGCTCGGCCCACTTGCTGTTCAGGACGCGCTGGCTCTCCGCTCGGAGCGCGCGCCTCCTTCCCGCCGGGCTCGCTCGGAGCGATCGCGCGTCGACCTCGGCCGGGAGAGGCGCCTCCTTCGCGATCGTGGCCGCTTCCGCCTCGGCCGGGCGCGGCTGGTCGAAGCTCGCGACGGACGAAGCGGTCCAGGCGGCTTCGCGCTCGGCCTGCTCGGCCCACTTGCTTTCGAGGACGCGCTCGCCCTCCGCTCGGAGCGATCGCGTGTCGACCTCGGCCGGGAGAGGCGCCTCCTCCGCGATCGTGACCGCTTCCGCCTCGGCCGGGCGCGGCTGGTCGAAGCTCGCGACGGACGAAGCGGTCCAGGCGGCTTCGCGCTCGGCCTGCTCGGCCCACTTGCTTTCGAGGACGCGCTCGCCCTCCGCTCGGAGCGATCGCGTGTCGACCTCGGCCGGGAGAGGCGCCTCCTCCGCGATCGTGACCGCTTCCGCCTCGGCCGGGCGCGGCTGGTCGAAGCTCGCGACGGACGAAGCGGTCCAGGCGGCTTCGCGCTCGGCCTGCTCGGCCCACTTGCTTTCGAGGACGCGCTCGCCCTCCGCTCGGAGCGATCGCGTGTCGACCTCGGCCGGGAGAGGCGCCTCCTCCGCGATCGTGACCGCTTCCGCCTCGGCCGGGCGCGGCTGGTCGAAGCTCGCGACGGACGAAGCGGTCCAGGCGGCTTCGCGCTCGGCCTGCTCGGCCCACTTGCTTTCGAGGATGCGCTCGCCGTCCGCTCGGAGCGATCGCGTGTCGACCTCGGCGGGCGCGGCGGAAGACGCCGCCGCCGAGCCGGAGAGCCAGTCGGGGGGCGCCTCCTGCTCCGTCGTGACCGCTTGTTCCTCGGAGACTCGCTGCTGCTCGAGCTGCGCCGCTTGTTCCTCGGCGACGCGCAGCCGCTTGAGGCTCGCAGCGGACGCCGCGATCCAGGCCGCTTCGCGCTCCGCCTGCTCGGCCCACTTGCTTTCGAGGACGCGCTCGCCCTCCGCTCGAAGCGATCGCGTGTCGACCTCGGCCGGGAGGCTCGCCTCCTGCTCCGTCTCGAGCTGTGCCACTTCCGCCTCGGCGACGCGCAGCTGCTGTGCCGCTTCCGCCTCGGCGGCGCGCAGCCCCTCGAGGCTCGCGACGGACGCCGCGGTCCAGGCCGCTTCGCGCTCAGCCTGCTCGGTCCACTTGCTTTCGAGGACGCGCTGGCCTTCCGCTCGGAGCGATCGCGTGTCGACCTCAGCAGGGAGAGGCGCCTCTTGCTCCGTCGTGACCGTTTGTTCCTCGGCGACGCGCTGCTGCTCGAAGAGCGCCTCTTGCTCGGCCTTGAGCCGCGCCGCTTCCGCCTCGGCGACGCGCAGCTGCTCGAGGTTCGCGACCGTTTCCGCCTCAGCGACGCGCAGCTGCTCGAGGCTCGCGACAGACGACGCGGTCCAGGCGGCTTCGCGCTCCGCCTGCTCAGCCCACTTGCTGTTCAAGACGCGCTCGCCCTCCGCTCGGAGCGATCGCGTGTCGTCCTTGACCGGGAGAGGCGCCTCTTGCTCCGTCGTGACCGTTTGTTCCTCGGCGACGCGCTGCTGCTCGAAGAGCGCCTCTTGCTCGGCCTTGAGCCGCGCCGCTTCCGCCTCGGCGACGCGCAGCTGCTCGAGGTTCGCGACCGTTTCCGCCTCAGCGACGCGCAGCTGCTCGAGGCTCGCGACAGACGACGCGGTCCAGGCGGCTTCGCGCTCCGCCTGCTCAGCCCACTTGCTGTTCAAGACGCGCTCGCCCTCCGCTCGGAGCGATCGCGTGTCGTCCTTGACCGGGAGAGGCGCCTCTTGCTCCGTCGTGACCGTTTGTTCCTCGGCGACGCGCTGCTGCTCGAAGAGCGCCTCTTGCTCGGCCTTGAGCCGCGCCGCTTCCGCCTCGGCGACGCGCAGCTGCTCGAGGTTCGCGACCGTTTCCGCCTCAGCGACGCGCAGCTGCTCGAGGCTCGCGACAGACGCCGCGGTCCAGGCGGCTTCGCGCTCCGCCTGCTCAGCCCACTTGCTGTTCAAGACGCGCTCGCCCTCCGCTCGGAGCGATCGCGTGTCGTCCTTGACCGGGAGGGGCGCCTCCTGTTCGAATGTGGTCCATGAATGGGGGCTCGATTGTGGTGTCCGAAGCTGTCGCGTGCGGCGGCCGGCGACGACGCGCTGACCCTCCGCTCGGAGCGATAGCCTCTTCTCCTCGGCAGCCAGCAGCTGCGGCGCTTCCTCCTCGACGATGCGCAGCCCCTCGAGGCTCGCGGCGGACGCCGCGGTCCAGGCCGCTTCGCGCTCCGCCTGCTCGGCCCACTTGCTTCGAGGACGCGTCG